TTAAATCCAACTTCACCTCACCTCATCTCTAATCCCTGCCGAAGCCATTCTATCTCTATTCAGTTGAAGATTACACTCAGTAATGGGTTTAGTTTCTGAAGAGACAAAATGCCGCTCCCGACTCACAATCTAAGGGAGTCTGTCTTATGCTTGTATGTACCCCAAGGAGGACTTCTTCTGAAAGAGAATCGTACAAACCTGTAGAGGTTACTGATTCTTTGAAGAAAGTCCTCCTTTGGATACGGCAACCCACATCCCCACATTCTGATTACCTTACCTTCAGTATGAAAAGTGTGGTGCGAGGTAGACACGAGAGTTACTTGCTCTTGGCTGTAGGGTCTATGCCCAGCCCAGAAGGAGTGGTCGAACAAGACAAAACACGTTTTTTGTTTTGTAAATATTTTTTATTAAAATATTGTTACAACTGTCGTAGGATTGTTTAAATGGACATTTCATGCTTATATGTACCCAAAGGAGGACTTTCTTCAAAGAATGAGTAACCTCTATAGGTTTGTACAAATTGTCATGACACTACTGTATAAAACATCAACTGTAATTTGATATTATTATCTTTAAATTACTATTCCTTTTAGAAAAGCAACTACTCGACGCTGAAAGCTGAGTACCTCAGTGAATTCAGATTATTACCAAATACACATCTTATTTAACATGACGGACATAATTTCTTTTTTTTTGCCCTGTGCATCCTCCTAAACATATATTGTATATTTGTCTTTCTTGCAGCTACAAACAAACCCCACAATAAACAAGCAGAAAGAGAAACTTTGACTTCATCTTCCAGTGATGACGGTGACGATGACAGAAATGTCGTTAGTCAAAGAACAGCTACGGTCTCTGGTGAGTGGTTTGCAATGTGGTGCTATATTAATCTGTCTAAGAATGGTGAATCATCATGTGTCATTTGGGATGCAGGAACTACGTGAATGGAATGAGGGGTTAGTGTGGGAGTAAAATGCGAGAGTTGGAGAGCACCGCTGTATGGATATATACAACTAAGATTACATTTGTAAAATTGAGAGCAGTGTCTTCTGTTAAATGTGTGCTGATCAGTCAGTCTAAGGGCTATACTCGCATTATGACTGCATTAGGAAGGTTTGTAACCATGATCATGTTGGGCATTGTGGAATCTGCCACTTATATATTCCCATCCCCTTGAAAATCATATTCTTGATACCAAAGCAGAAGAAAAAAGCATTCCCAAACGAATCATGTACTTGCTGTGAGCTCATATTATCATATTGATATCTTGCCCTTAAATTTTACCTTGGGTTAGTAGAATATGTCAGCGTTGTGTTTCGAACCTGAACTGAGATACTAAACCATCTCATACTAAGATTTTAATCAACATTCCAGTTGCATGGACCAAAGATGAGTCAGCATCACTGCACACCTACTTTGGCGATTTCCTTGTGGTGGGAGAACGAGGAAATGGTGGCAACAAGGGCAAACTTCCCAGTAAGTTCTAGCATAAAACCATTTCTCGGATATGTATCATTAGACAGACTCTTTTTGGAGGATGCAATAAAGTCCTACAAAGTCTTTCTCTTTTCAGTCACGTTTGAACTGAAATTATTAATATGTATCATTTTGTCATGCTGCAAGTTGTCGGTTATTGAACACAGGGGCAAGCTATATAATTTTGTTTGTTATCAATCATAATATCAAGAGATTGGCTGAAATTATGCTGAAAGTGATTGTGACATTATTTTCATATCTGGCAAAGGTTCTGATCAAAATGGTGACAAAGATGAAACTTTGCACAAATGAAACAAATGTTTTCTTAAAAATTCAGGTGAGCTTCAGAGCCTTGTGACTCCATTTTGGATCCTACTTTTATGCAGAAAATATATTGAGATTACATGAGCAAGAATGTAAAATAAATAATTTTGGACAAGCTTCGAATAAGTCACATGACACACCTGCTCGAGTGTAATAATTTCTATATTTTGCATTTTATTCATGTACATATGTGCAGTAAAACACAGTAAGCGAGTGTGACGGCCCTCTTCATTGACATGACAATCAATTGTTTAATGACGTCACATATGAAATACAGAAACAATGCTTGCTAGGCAAAACTGATATGTGCACGTATGATATATATGCAATGGTTATGTTTCACCGACTCCACCCCTCTAGGTGTGATCTTTTTTTCACAGGTAAAATGGAAATAATGAGATTTTTAGATCTGTCGACACCAAGCTGCCTGCTTCATTTGGACAAGCAGGCCGCCTACAAAAAGGTGCGAAGCAAACTCTTCAATGACAGGAAGACCATTCGACAATATGTTACCAAACACCTACAACAGTTGCTGTAAAATGAACTTCAGTTCTTGTCTTACACTATTAGTCCAGTAAAATTAGTGGAAAAAATCACTGAACCTCAAAAATTGGTACCGAAATGGTTTTGTGTATATATCGTAAACAATATATATAAAGTCCTCCCTTGGATGTTGATGCTAAGTGGCTTTTTGGGGGAAAAAATTATGAAAAATTGTATTTTTCAATTAATTTTGTTCAAACTGAAAATAAGTACAGAAAATTGTATAAAATCTTGCAAAACATACAACTGAAGTGTACCAAATAGTAAATAATGAAAATTTAAACTGAATTTTTTTTATGACATTAGCTTTGGAAACTCCAGCGCACTGGAAACGAGTAAATGAGAGTTGTCTCCCCTTTGTTTACAATAGATTGAAGTAGCAGAATGGAAAGGAAAGGTTCTATCCTTTGTAGAACTCTAACTAGATGAGGCTATAGTTAGCCTAATAGATAGAGGAATATAAAGACAGCTAAAAGCTACTAATAGTATAAGAGAGGAGGAGGACTGAGGTGATTCATCTCCCATAATTAGCCCACAAAACTATATGCACTGCGGTCGTGTAGGACTACCTAGGTGATAAATGGCACATTCTGTATCAAGGTTTGACATAACTTGAAGAAACATGCCAGAATGATAGATTAGGAAAATATACTATTCAAACTTTGCTAAGGATCAAATTATGGATTCAACATACTCGACCCCCCCCCCCCTCTCTTAGCCCCCTATAAACACATCTCAGGGCTCCCTTTCTCACTCGTACATGATACTAAACTCAACCCATTCACACCTTTATCTCAGCACGCGCACAGACACTAAATACTAACATGTACTATCTACTACACACACCCACAACTCTCCACACCATCATGTATCAAGTGCATAAGGTTAAATTAAAGTGGCTGTTTGCCTAAAGAGGGGTTAGCATATCATTATTTATCCAGTTTTAAATTAATACAATTTCAAATTATATATCTACGTTTAAGTCAAGTTGTGAATATTTGAAAAATTGAAAGTGAAAAAAGATCACATATAACGACCTCACAGGGCGTCGCCATGATGCTATCTCACACGGTTAACGAGAGCGAGAAAATGACGTCATCGACACACCACGAAATTAGGTTACGCCGCTGTCATCAATGGTGCGCGATGCCGGCCTGTCAGGCTTGGGGTTGTTCAAACCGTAACGACCGGGGGGAAAAGCGTCCCCGGTCACGGAAAATAATTTTTTCAAATACCCAGGCCAGATAAAAAGAAGATCCTATGCAGCAGATGGCTCCACAACATCGGGACGGGCTGGACAGCATCGACCTTCAAGTTCGGGCGGCACAAGGTTTGAACTTTGAACAACATGACATTTTTGCGTATAACCTGTTCTAGACAAGCTCATACATGATTATTATGAAAGTAATTCTTATAAGTCCTTGTTAATATAGTTGCATTTGTTAAATAACTTAATTTTGTTTAGGAAATATTTTTATTTCAATGATTTCTTCAATGAAAAATATAATATTTTCGGCTGCAATGTATTCGAAGCGAATCCTCCTTTGTCACGATGCATTGTGGTATGTTCGTAATAAAAATAAATTCGTACGTATTTATCACATTTAATTCAACCATAAACTGGCTTGATCTTGAATTTGTGTTCGATTATAATTAGTACGACATTGATATGATTACGAATGTCGATAGGGATTAAAGGGGAAAATGTAGACTTGTAGGGCTGCATGAAGATCTAGTAGAAAATCATGGATGAATAATGATTATCGGCGTAACACTTTCAGTCATCATCAATTATTTTTTAAAAGTTATGGATTTACACCATTATGAAGAAACTGGCAAATGTTACAATATTGAAGTTGTTGACAAATGTAGACATTGAGGCTTTATTTTTGAAAAATCGTATCCCCTAATAATCACATGTGCATATTATTGTAAATAGTATTTAGTTTTAAACATTTTAAGAAAATAATATGAATAGTCTGATCTTTTTTGTAATCAATTATCATGTAAACATTATAATAATAAGTATTATTATTATTAATATAAAGAATAATTAATCATGTACATAAATAGATCACATCACGTACATGAATATGTATCTTAAGCTTTTTTTGAGAAGATGTGTACAATTTCGATTGTTTTCAATTGTACATGATTTAGAAAGGTTTGATTTTGACGGTTTGATTTTTTTGTGCAGGTTGTTTGTGAAGACCATTTTGAGCCAGACTGTTTCGAGTATGATCTCCAGGCAAGAGTTTTAGGGGTAGAGCCACATCTGAAACTGAAGGGAGATGCAGTCCCTACTCTCTTTGTTCATAGAAAGAGACAGGGAGAAGAGATGAGAGAAGGGATCGCCTGATAGAAAGGAAAAGAAAGCAGGTAACTCAAACAGGCTTAAAAACACAAGACATTTTTGACTGTAAATTTTTAATGATCTACCCCTAAGCTTTTTAAATAAAGGTACGTATGTGAGTTGACATCTGTATGACTTAATATGTTGATCAGTGACTAGAATGTAGGTTACAAAATATAGCAAGGGTGATTATATCCGATTCAGTGGAATATATCATAACTTTCTGGGGTTGCATACTTACTTAATTCTTTTCTCTTTGAGGTTATCAGCAGTGTCATCAGCTCTTCAGCCACCACGAAAAGAGGGAAGTCTAAGGTACTTAGTTTTTTAATTGTTCATTAGTATTATGGAAACCATGCCTCCTTGTTTGCCTTGATAGCATCATTTACAAACAGTGCCTTGGTAAAGTAACATATATTTTTTTTCAACAAACAGGAATTTGTCTCCCTGATAAATATAGAACACATTTAGAGAAGTGCCTCAAAATAAGACTGAGAATGAATTCATTAGACTCTTATGATAATTTGTTATGTATTTTTCAATCATCGGAAGTCTTCATACAAAAAACCACTCTTATAACATTCATAAACACAGCCCAAACATCTTACTTTAAAAGCCAGCAGTGTATTCTTGTATATGAAAAACATTATGCATAGCAAATAAGTTCTTGACACATGTATTTCAGAAGAAATCATCAGATCATGCACCCAAGAAGAGAGGTTTGAATTCCAACCATGGCAACATTGAAGTTTGCTCTGTTGTAAGTATTTGTACTTGTTAAGCATCTTCTGAATTAAAGGAAAAAATGTGACTGTCTAAAATGGTTCATTTTCATTTTCAATTTAATGTCTTGAATATATAGAGAATCTCGCCAAAGAGTTGTTTGATATGAAATATATGAACACAATTTTATTAAAGGTACCAATATCGGAGGATAATTTTGCTATAATCAAGGAGTTTTGATATATTTGATATCAGAAGACATGATGGTGCCATTTTATTTATCAGCCAAAATCATTCTTAATCAGTTATCAGTAAAAAAAATGAACATATATGAACACAAAACTGTCATTAGGCTTCCTGAGCATTACTGTCATAGCATTGTCAGCTGTATTCTTAGTGATGTCAAAGTATTATGACAATTCAATTGTTGTGATATCTACAACGAAGATATCGCAAAGCGATGTCTACTGTGGGAGCCAGTTTTATAATAATAATGAGAATATTTATAACATGCCATTTCCAGGCTAGATATCCTGCTCAAAGCTTATACTCCAATCATTGTTAACCCGGGTAATCCATGCTGCCTGTTAGGCACTAGAAGGTTAATAGTCTCACGACTTGTTTCACCGGGTACCCATTTTCTGCTGGGTGATTAGAGGCAAGTTTGAACAAACTCACTTGCCTAATAATTATGTGTCTTTTGAGAAATTCTAACATGTTTTTAACAATTTGTTTTTTAGAGTATTGGCGTGCAGACTGAAGACTGGTGTGTTGATTGCGGCCACACAAATCATCACCGCTGCAGTGGTCCTGAGGCATCTCCCTTGACCACCTCGCTGGATCATGCCTACTGTGCACTGTCAGAGCAAAAGGAAGAGGTTCACTCCACACCTGATATTGATATTTCCGATATATCTCAGGATTCTGAATCATTTGACAGTGTTGTTGATGATTTGAATAAATCAACAGTTCTGAGCGAATCATTTTCTTTGCATGTTTCAAGTGTTAGAAGTGAATCATCATTATACCAACCATCAAGTGATGCTGAATCACAAAGTGAAAATGAAGAAGAATCTGAAATAGACCCTATTTCAAATATCCTCTCTCAAGATAAATATATAGTGTTTTCCGATGCACTTGATGAAATTTTGTACCGTATTCCTTGTAAATACTGCTCATGTCCTGTTGATGAAATCAAGAAATCTTTTTTTGGTAGCATGATCACAGCCAAAATATATTGTACAGGGGGTCATGAGGTTTTGTATTGGAGGTCGCAGCCACTTTTGAATGATCGTGTCTGCTGGGAATGTGATGCTATCTGCCAGTATATTGTTCACTGGACAGACATACAAACATGTTGCTGATGTTGCTTCGTTGATGAATCTAACATTTGTTGGTAAAAGTACCTTTTATGACACTCAAATTGATTATCTATTGCCTGTTATTGAAGATTTTTGGAAGGCAGAACAAACATCCGTGCTGTCAACACTACAAGACTCAACAGTTCAAGTGTCAGGTGATGGGTGATGTGGTTCACCAGGGTATAGTGCTAGATACTGCAACTACACCATGATGGATCACAGCTCACTCAAGATTCTTGACTTTGAGGTTGTAGAGGTGACAGAAGCAAAAAGTTCTTGTGGTATGGAAAAAATTGGATTTGAAAGGGTGCTTGACAGGTTGATTGGATGCACAGAGTCTGAGTCAGGAATGCATGTTTCAATATCTGATGTGTCCACTGACCGGCATGTATCTGTAAGAAAGCTTATGCGTGAAAAGTATGCTCCTATGCACATTAATCACCAATTTGATGCTTATCACATGGCAAATAGTTTGCGCAAGAAGTTGAAAGATAAATGTCGTTACAAAAAAGTATTCAGCCCTTGCTCCATGGGTGCAATCAATATGTAATCATCTTTTTTGGTGTGCGGCTTCATGTATGGGAGATGCTGACCTACTTGTTGCCCGATGGGAATCCCTGCGCTACCACATTGTCAATATTCATCAGTGGGGGTGGGCCAGGATTGGTAACATCATGTTGTCATGATGTTCTTACAGAAGATCAAGTTGCAAGGAAGAAGTAGCTGACTCTGGACTCTCCTGCCCATCGAGTTCTAGAAGAAATCATGATGAACCGGAAATTTCTGGAGGACATCAGAAGACTAAGCAAATTTTTGCACACAGGTCGTTTAGAGGTATACCACTCCCTCCTCAACAAGTATTGCCCCAAGAGACAGGACTTCGATAAGAAACAGATGACAGGAAGAACCCAGCTGGCTGTCCTCGATCATAACAAGCATACCATTGTTGATACACAAGCTTTGTCATCTTCTCTTGAGGAAAGCTCTTCTGATGCTGTAACGTTCATCAATCCAGATGGAGTTAGAGTTGTTTACAGTAAGCATTGTAGTGACTGGGTAATCAAACCAATTTCAGAGCTCAAGAGTTATCCCTACCTCAAAGACATGATAATGGAAGTTCTGAAGCGTCACAAAAATCAAGAAAAGGGAGAAGTGAAGGCTGAAGCAAAGGCGCGTAACATTGCGAAGAAACCAAAGCCAAGTAAAGAAATACTTTTGAAGAGACACATATCAAGATTGAGTAAATGCTAAACTATGCTGAATATTGTTGAAGTTGTTGAGTGATATTGTACTCAGGTGTGATGAGTATGGAAAGACATTTGTTGAATGTTCGTTCATCTGATATTATTGTACTCAGTGTGAATACTGTGATGAGTATGGAAAGACATTTGTTGAATGTTCATCTGATATTATTGTACTCAGGTGTGATGTGTATGGAAAGACATTTGTTGAATGTTCATCTGATATTATTGTACTCAGTGTGAATACTGTGATGTGTATGGAAAGACATTTGTTGAGTATTCATCTGATATTATTGTACTCAAGTTTGATCAGTATTGTGATAGGAATAACTAATGACCCCAGCAATTTGCTTGATAAACATGATTGAAGGACATTTGTTGAGTGTTCAGTAGACATAATTGTAATGATAGTTTGATAAGTATTGTCAGATGTGTAATTTGTTCAGTGTTCATCTGATATTATTGTACTCAAGTTTGATGAGTATTGTGATAGGAATAACTAACGACCCCTGCAATTTGCTTGATAAACATGATTGAAGGACATTTGTTGCGTGATCAACTGATAATATTGTACTCAGTTTAGTGAGTATTGTCAGATATGTAATTTGTTGAGTGTTCAGCTTTTATATTATTGTACTCAGTGTGATGTATGGAAAGACATTTGTTGAGTGTTCCCCTGATAATATACTACAGTTTATATTATGATATCATCATATCAATGTTATTGAAAAACTGATACTTAGAATTAACATCTAATTTTTGTAGTTGTCAGTTATCCATTATTTAATAAATACCATTCATTTACACACAAAAAACGCAACTATCTACTTCCATCCAACCACAATATATTTGGATAAAATCATTGCTCCTGAATTTCAGGAATCAGGAACTCAATATCCCGTTCATATCACTCGTGGAGATGCATGGCTTCATTAACTTCTTTAAAGCCCGTGTATTGTTGTCCTGGGAAGTTCTCTCTAATTTGTCTGATGACACAAGCAGGTATCACCTTCCTCACCCCTTTACCAAGTTTCTGCCCACTATGAGCCCATGACATAAAGTTCCTATATGCCATAAGCCTTGACTGTCTGAAATAGGTAACAGGTGTGCCTCATTATTGTTGAAAAGAATTTACTCATTCACCTAGAAATTTAGATTTAGAATAGAGGCCTCTCTCTCACTCGCTTGAAAACATAAATTCTTATCCAAATTGTTTTTCAAAATCTTTCAGTTGTTTATACTGTATACATCATTATGTTCTTTATCTTATTCAAAACTGTTGGTTTCCATGTTGCACACCTATTTATCAGTGCAACTAGGTAATGATAAACATAAACGTTTGTTTCATGTTTTTATATGTAAGAAATTGCTTTGCATAACTGTCACAGGAATATATAATTAGATGACAGCAAATGTTGATGAAAAAGTGATGTTATGAAATATCCATACTGTAGATATAGAAGCATTTTAGATGGTGAAAAGAGAGAATGAATTATTGCATTTCATCTACGGGTTGTATTTCAGTATGACTATCTAAGCACCAATAATATGTCAACAGAGAAATAAAGATTATTGATGTTCAGTTGTGATTTTGTTTTTCAAACATTCATTATCGAATTAATATCTAATAAAGGTATCACCTAATTTTTAATGTTATTTTACTGGGTAAGAAAAATGATTAAAAATATATGAATAATATTCCATGATGTTTTAAGTATTATGTGCTCCATATTGTGAAAAAACATCACATCGGGCATGGATTTGAGCATAATTACCCATTTTAAAAAAATATATACAATTACAATTATGCCATGGGGAAAACACTTATTACAATACGATTTACTGTCATTTGTCACAATTTCTACAGAAATTGATAATTTAAAAATTCACAATTGGAAAATATGGAAATTTACCAAAGTGTATGTAAAAATATTTGAAAGACAAAACTTTCTATTTCATCTGAATATCAGTTTATGACAAGCTCTCAAAACCTCTTTTGGAAAATACCATGTAAGACGTGAGGGGATTATCACTGGAAAACATGCCGGTTGGTGAGAACATCAGGAGCTCGTCCACCCATTCCCTTGAACATCATGAATTGGATATAGCTCATAAGTAGCACCGGTAGTGAAAGACATATGGTGGAAAAATCACAGTGATCGGTAATGCAAGAAATACCGATAATCCTATCATGGAGGTATGGTATTTCCTGGCAACATCGACACTCCATTGCCGTTGGCATTGCCTCGCACTTCTCGCACTCACACCATGTCGTATTTCTGGTACGATTATAATCAGCGGAATCGGTCTCAGAATCGCTTTCACTGGATCGATTATCAAGCGTTCTGCTTTCTCCCTCCTCAAACTGCGGTTCAAACATATACGGTCGTAAGTTAAACTCCATTGCTGCTAGTGCTAGGCTGCTAGTACAAATTTAGAACTGGGTTTCACTTTCAATAAGATAATGTATTACGTTGAAAAGCGCGCAGCGCAAACATACCGTAAATTCAGTTGAATAATGACAACTCCATGGCACAATGATGTACGGAGATTACAATCTAAACTCCTTACACCGATTTCTTGTGGTGTGTCGATGACGTCACATTTTCAGAAAAAAATGGCAGCTCCCATGTCGATCCAAGACAGACGTTCATATGCGATGTAACTACTTAACCCGTTGACCGAATAAATTATAATTTGGTGAGAATTTGTTTTATTACTCGATCTTTTGCAGGATTAAATTTGAAAACTCATTGGAATATTCCTTTAAATTCACAAAATAGCGTATTTTTGTTATTTTTTGGTTTCAAACCGAAACCGGTTTCATAAAGAGGTTGCGGAAGAGTTTTGTACTGTAGTACAAGATTTGCTTGACGTCACACTGTAATGACGTCACTGCCTTGGTAACCGACGTCATGATGCATGTCAGTTGTCATCGCCTCGTACAGCCTCCTACAGTAAACTACTCCGTAGCACCCCGTTTCTTGGTTTGCAGTTGCTTCATTCGGCTAACATCACTGGTGGAAACATTGCGTTTATGTTTTTCGACGGATATAATGTCTCAGTTCGACTCACAATTAAACAGCGACACGGCAACGTTCGCACTGTTTACATTCCCAAAATGCATTTAAGTTGTAGAATGAATGAATTCACGTGTTTGTTATGAATGAAAAAATAGTTACGTCAGAATGTGACCTAATTGAGAGGTCATCGGTTATCCAATCAAATCGTTATAATCTCAGGTCAAGTCGTTACGACACAGGTCAACGCGATACGACACTCGTGTGACGTACAAGATTAGTATGCAACTACCCATACGTTGACCACGTGGGTAATAAATTCAGGTATCCAATTCTCTTATTAGTAACGTAAACTCTGGTAGTCTGGTGCAAGTGAAAGACAATTTGATTGACTGTTTGGGTTTGATGACTTATGTATGATTTCTAATATAAGTCAACCCTGGACAAGTGTTATTGACTTAAGGCCAATGATAACTATTTATGTTAGCTAAAACCTGTTCCAAAGTTTGCAAATCATTCATACACTTTTATCATTTACTACATGTACCAGTGGCCCAAGCAAGTATGATGATCTTTCTCTGAAGTGTCATAATTAAGCACGAGCATCTCCCCTTGTGGACAGAGTGAGCGAGTGAGTTTAGTTTTACACCATTTTAAGCAATATTACCGGAATAACATGGTGGGGACACCAGAAAAACAGGCTTCACACATTGTACCCATGTGGGGAATCGAACAGTATCCGGCATGACGAGTGAATGCTTACACCACTAGGCTACCCCACCACCATCCCCTTGTGAAGGGGGAGACTGCAGGGTCCATGTGCATGTTCTGGGTGTGTTGGGGGTTGGTTGTAAGTTGTAGTTCCAAAGCCATTCTATTTCTGGCAGGTTCTTTTTCAATGCTGATCTTATTTCTGACAACTCATGAAAACATTTATATTTCATGATTCCCTGTTATTACAGAAAGTATATTTTGATCAATGTTGATTTTCTTCTGATGGAAAATACAGAAGAGAATGTATGAAAGTGTGTCATTAATCATACAGAAATATCAACTATTTCATGTATTAACACTGTTATGTAAATTTGGATCATTTGTTACCAAACTGTATTGGCAGGTATTCACTGCTTGTTCTCACAATGTGTATTAATCTGATACAAAAGAAGAGTTTTTACACTTGTAAAAAGGTATGTGAATGAGATTATATGCTTTCTGTTGCTAGTACCTGTTTAATTAATGTTTGCGACTTGCAAGATGACACTCACTCACTACTGTCCTTTGTTGACAGGAATTTATTATTTTATTTTTACTTATTGTTAATCTATAACTTGTTTTAGTCACGATATGGCTGAAATATTTCCAAAGTGACTTTAAATTTTAACTCACTCACTTGCAAGATGGTGTTTCATTATAGGTACACTATGGGGCTTATCCTTTTAACAAATATTGGTAAAAGAAAGAATTTATTACAAAACATGAAAGGTTTGCATGTGTGTTGAGAGCATACTTTCAGTTTCATGTTCATTCTGTGTATTGTTTCAATGAATTGTTACTGGTGCATGGTGTATTTCTTCTTAGTAAGGGAAGTAGTGAGAGGTACAAGACATTTATATAAGAAACATTCCTATAGTAGAGACTGAAACAGTATTGATTGTACATTGTCTTTGAATGATGCTGCAGGGAATAGTATACTTGATAATCTACAACTGATATTTGCTTCTCCAGTTTACATAAAGAATTATTACCATTGTGGTGTTGTTAAAAACCTGAATGTTTTTGGTCAAATGTAAACTGATGGAAATGTTGTTTCTCAATTCAGAGATGTTCATTTGTCTTAACTCACAGGTTTTAGAGAAAGCATTCCACAACATAAAAATAAATATCCCTTAGCTGAAAGTGTTTGATGCTTTTATTACTTACATCAAGGGCATGTAATTAAGGAAACTTTAGTTCCCTAATGCCAGCTCACAATGTGTCAACGTATTCTCAGAGAGAGAAGTAGGTGGTGTGGTAAAATGGGGTTTAACGTCATACTTAAGAATATTTCCCTCATATGACGTATGTATGCGTGGCTGCTTGTACTAGCCAAGACTGA